AGAACTGTACTGGAACGTGGTAAAAACACAATGGAACGCACTAAAATGCACATGTCCCTACTTAAATTTTAGAAAAAAAGAGAGGGGAAAAAAATTAACTGCAATGCATAAAAAAATGCACTGGAACACGTCAAAAACGCATCCAAACTGCACTGTAATACACCAAAAATACATCCAAAATGCACTGGAACACGCTAAACATGCATCTTTTTTGCAAAAACGCATCTGGAACACATCTAGACTGTTTCTATAGTGTGAACTGGCCCTTAGGACTTGTTCACACCATTTGTGGTGCAGAAACGCATGCAAGAGCATGCATTGTCCAGCACAGCAAAGAAATGCAATGCCCTCTGCAGATGTGCGCAGGTACCATGATGAAAACATAATTGCACCTCCACATGTCTAGTAAACACAGATGCATTCACAGCCACCAAAACGCATGGCACCACACTGCTGTGCGGTTAGGTGCAACACACTTTTACAATAACATGCCTGCAGTATTTTTGCATGTTCCCCACATGTTAGGCAGCCCATTGAAATTAATGAGCTGAGGAAAAAAAAAGTAAAAAATGCCCATTCACACAGGTCCTCTGGCCTGCACAGCATGAATGAGGGGGTTGTTCATGTGGCTGGAGCCACCTGTTACACTATGGGGACACAGCAGCTATATGAACACAGGTTGTCATCTGACAGGTGTGAAGGCGTGGGGAAGTGACCCTGAATGCTCACTGTCTGTGTTCAGGGCTGTACACCTGCACCCATATGCTTGTCAAATTATAACCTGCAGCATTTCCATTGTGTAACATAGGTTGCTTGCAAACGGCGAAAGCCACAAAAACAAACCACTGATTCCACGCTACAGGCCACAGCACCCATGTGAATGAGCCCCAAGACCCCAATTACACACAGCTTTATGTACTCCGTACAGTTTTTATAACTTAGATTTCACAGGAATATGGTTGAGATTATGTCAATTAATAATGTGTTTAGTGTATTTTTACCATAAATATAATTTGGATATTTTCTCTGGCGGTGGGGGGCTGTCAGGTATGCTGTACGGGGCCCCGTGATATCTAACACTGGCCCAGGGTGTATGCTTGTGTCTGTGCCACCTGTATAGTTAGGAAGAACCTTGAACCTCTGCTATGTACCTCAATGGATCTAGGAATTGGACATGTTTTCTACTGAAAATACAATTATTAGTAATGTTTCCCCGGCAAATGAGGATCAGCTCCTTGGTGGAGAACAGCGATCTCGCCATGTCCAGATGTGGTCTGGAATTCCACAAAAGAACAATTCACAAAACTAAAAAATAGACTTGCAAAATTACCACTAAACTCTCTCAACTATACTCCCATCCACTAACACTGCCCACTACCACTTCCGGGTGTGTGCAAACGTCCTTCCGCCAACGTCATGACGTATTTCCGGTATGACAGCTGCTCTAGCGCCTCCAACAGCCGTCTTTGGCGTTTATTTGTGCACCATAGCAATTTTACATGCGGCTCCATTGTGTATATAACATTCGCAAATATGTTTGCAGTTCTATTGTGGATTTGGCATTGGTGAATGTATGCTTGCAGCTCTACTGTGTATATGACATTGGCAAATATATACTTGCCAGTAAAGGCCCAAAGTCAACAAATTGGGGGGCCCAATTTATTACTGTTAATAGGATTGTAGAAAAAGAATAGCTAGCTGGACATTGAACACGACCTATTCATTGGTATATAACATGGTCTTGGTGCAATAGGGGCTTTTGGTTTGTTAGTCTGGACATAATTGCATATGTGCGCTCTAACAAGGAAGATTTGGGCATATTATATAGCTAGCAAAAATAAGTGTTAGGGGTGCTAGTACATTTATTTCAGATACTTACATAGCGCTGTCAATCAACACAGTGCTTTACATATATATGTGATAAATTAACCTCAGTCCCTAACCCTCAAGGGGCGTACTAAGGGCCCTAACTTACATTCATACATATACTAGGGCCAATTTTGACAGGATCCAATTAACCTACCAGCATGTCTTAGAGTGTGGGAGGAAACCAGAGTTCCTGGGGAAACACAGGCACAGGGAGAACATGCAAATTCCAGGAGGTGCCATGGTTGGGATTGGAGCCAACAACCCTAGTACTGCCAGGTGGAAGTGCTAACCATTTAGCCACTGTGCTACATTCAACTAGAACATGAAATAATCCCCCAAAAATACATAGTCCAAATGTTTATTGATCAAATACACATTCCACATTTGGACAGCAACAACAAGTAAGTAGATTCAATATCTTGGTGAAAAAAAAAAAAAAAGCAGGATTGATGTTGCTAAAATAGAACGGTCCTGCTCATAAGAGCTTACAATCTAAAAGACTATACTTCTAATGAACTGTGCTTTGACAGGTTGCAGCAGGAAACAAACGGTTAATATAAATCACTTAGGCTTAGCCACAAAACAAGCTGAAGATCAAAATATCAATATAAAAATGCATACATGCCAAAATAACACCTCCCACCTCCCCAAATCCCCCACACATACATTTCTCATCATGTTTGTCTGAAAACTGCATTTCATTCTAAATAAAGCAAAACTTGGAAGAGCAGAGCAATGGACATGTGTTAGGATTACAATGCAAAGATAATAAACACTATCATTGTACAATAACACACAAACACACCTTAGAAGGAAGAACATGCAAAACATTTATAGCCCACATCAAAACACAGCGCGCGAGTGTGACCTGGGCAATTCACCACAATATCTCTTCCTCCCCCAAACCACCACAGACAAGGACTTGCAGAAATAATGTGGCCTGTACAAGACAAAAAATCAGCAACTACTGCATCTCTTTATATAAGGTAGGCCACACCCACCACTGTCATTCATTTGGTCAGAGAAAGTGTTTGCACCTGATTAATTCTCTTCCCACCTGTGTTAACCCTTGGTATACAAATCAGAGTCAGAAAGAGAGCCACAGTGAAGTGTACCTGTGCAGCATACAACAGAACATTGAACAGGGATGTAAAAGCCCTATTGGCAATATTTCTTGGCCCTATGGGCACAATTCACTCCAGATTATCGCATGAGTTAAGGCAGTCACATGACTACATCTCGCATGCAATACTGAAAATGATTTCCTTACGATTTGCAAGACATCTGACACAGATATCTATGCAAATCACCACAAAAGTAGTACATGTACTACTTTAGAAATCAGTGTTGGAAACACACCCATGTGACTGCTCTAACAGCAGACAATAGGGTGTGACTTGGCATACGATTTGCAAGTCGCATGTCATGCAAATCGTATGCCAAGTCGCATCCAGGGTGCACGATTTCAGGTGTGATTGGGAATTGAAATTGTACCTGATAGCACAGGCTTGTCCAAAGTCCGGCCCGTGGGCCATTTACGGCCCGGGGGTCGGTTTAATACGACCCTCCAACAGCCCTCCCTGCTCTGTGTAATGTGGCCCTCCCACGGCCCTCTCCCTTCTATGGCAGACAGTCTTCTGCTTGAGAGCAGAGGGCAGTGCGAATGCCTGACTGCGGCGCATTCTCCCTGGTCTGTGTAAATGCGGCTGTCGCACGGCCCTCCCTTCTGTGGCAGACAGTCTTCTGCTTGAGAGCATGTGCGCATGCGTGACTGCGCCGCGCTGGGAGCGACAGAGGGCGGTGACATCAGGGCGGGCTTCCAGCGTGAAGTATGATTCTCTTCCCCTCCTGGCTGCCGAGCAGAGACTTCAGCTCCAGCTACCTTTTTCACCCTTCACATTAGTGCAGGTAAGTTTTTTTTTAATTTATTTTCAATACATTGTGAAAACTCAGCTGTCAGTTGATCCTAATGTTATGAAATGAAAAGTATGTCGTTTGCAATTAACTTGGCATAAAATAATTTATTTGCATTTAATTGTAATGGTTCAAAGAATGTTCGGGAAAAAATGTTCGGCCCTTCCACCATGTTCACTTCATCCAATCTGGCCCTCTTTGAAAAAAGTTTGGACACCCCTGTGATAGCGGATCTAATGAATGTGGATGTGAGTGTCTTAATGTAAGCGATTTGCTGCAGCACAATTTCAAACGTCGTTCTTGTATTTTGTAGCGATGTCATATATAGACTACAATAGAAACCGCAGTGCAAAACACAATTGAAAATTCAATAACTCATTGGTAAATCTACAGAAAATATGGTGAAATTGCCAACAAAAAGCACAATTTTAAATCGCATCTAGTGTGAACCAAGCAGGAAATTCAACAAAGGAAATAAATCTTTGAAGGCATGCGGTATCTGCATGCTTGGATAAGGGTCTGTTATGAATTTGGGGGGTGACTCCATGCCATTATTTTATTAATTTTTTTTTTAATCCTTTTCTCTCTCGCTCACTCTTCTCATGGTTTGACAAACTTTCCCAAAAGGGGGTGGAGTGCAAACCAGCATTATCAAATCAATCATTAGTCCAGGCCCTTATCTCATCCCATCGTTTGACATTCACATAAGGTACCACTTTAAAGGTGTTTGAACAGACAAGGCCTCATTCTAATTCATTTAGACAGAAAGCAAAGATGCTGCCACCAGCACATGTATGTTAGGGTAAACACACGGAGATCATCCAAATTCATTGCCATGGTTGGGATTCAAACCAACAACCCTAGCGTTGTGAGGCAGCAGTGCTAACCACTAATCCACAGAGCTGTTGAACACTAACCATGCCTGTATTTCTGTGGTGTGAATCAATCCTAGGACCCTGGGCAAGGTCAGTGTAACTAGCCAGATATCTCCAATGTGATACAAATGTTGTGCTATGTTGCCAATTCTGATATATGTTGGTTCTATGTATCCCAATACAAAGGATTGCAATACTAATACAGGCGTACCTCGGTTTACCAACGCCTCGGTTAACGGAATTTTTGGTTTACGAATGAAAATCCATGGAAAATAATGCCTCGGTTTCCACAATTGTTAATAATTTTTTTTCGCAATACAAAGTGTATGTGAGCGCTGATTTTCAAATGCAAATGCCAGCCTTTTTTTTTTTCTTTACTATAGTTTACAAGCTTAGAAGTCACTTTCCCCGAAGTTACAGAAAACTTTGTATCTTTTAATAAACTCAAAGTAAAAACATTGTTTCCTTTAGAGATATAAATTCCAAGAAAACTTTCTCTTTTAGCTGGGGGAAGTGACAGGTGAATTTCTGAGCTATAGTGAAGAAAAAAAAGGGAGAAATACATTTAAAAACCAGCACCATAATAAATAAAAAACAGCGTGGGGTCCCCCCTGCCATCCACACCAAGCCCTTTGGGTCTGGTATGTATCTTAAGGGGTAACTCCACACCAAAATGTAAACAAAAACCTGCGTGGGGTCCCCCCTCCCATCCACACCAAGCCCTTCGGGTATGGTATGTATCTTAAGGGGTAACTCCACACCAAAATGTAAACAAAAAACGGCATGGGGTCCCCCCTCCCATCCACACCAAGCCTTTCGGGTCTGGTATGGATATTAAGGGGTAACTCCTCGCCGAAATTAAATAAAAAAACAGCGTGGGGTTCCCCCCAAAATCCATACCAGACCCTTATCCGAGCATGCAGCTCGGCAGGTCAGGAAAAGGGGGACGAGAGAGCGTCCCCCCTCCTGAACCATACTAGGCCACATGCCCTCAACATGGGTGCTTTGGTACAGGGGGGCTCCCCCCCAAAGCACTTTGTCCCCATGTTGATGGGGACAAGGGCCTTTTCCGTTAGTGGGATAATTGGTCGGCCGTTTTTCAGGATTTCGGCACATTTTGTTTATCGGTAAATTTGGAAAAAAATCGTCTGATTTTGCCAATCGGCCAATTTCGCGGCAATGATCGGCAAAATCGGACGATTTTTTTCCAAATTTACCGATAAAAAAATGTGCCAAAATCCCAAAAACCAGCCGACCAATTAACCCAATAACAGCTCGAAAATCAGCCAATTTTTTTTTCGGCTTAAAAATCAGCCGAATTTAGATCCATCTATGGCCTGCTTTAGATGGGTCTAAAATAGGCCGATTTTTGGCCTGAAAAAAAAATCGGCCGATTTTTGGGCTGTTAGTGGGTTAATTGGTCAGCCGTTTTTTGGGAGTTTGGCACATTTTTTTTTATCGGTGAATGTGGATAAAAATCGGTCAATTTTGCAGATCGCCTGATTTTCACGGCTATGATCGGCAACGGCCGATCTTTTACTGATAAAAAAATCTGCGCATAAGCCGTGACCTTCAAAAAAAGAAGAAAAAGAAGAGAAAAAGAAGAAAAATGCAGGCCATAGACGGGGCAAAAAACGGCCATTTTTATTTAAAAAAATGAAAAATCAGTTGTTCAATCGGCTGACGTTAACACCAACGGGAAAAAAAAATTGGCCGATTTTCTCCTGTCTATGGCTGGCAAATATAATAGCGAAAGTAATTACTTCTGTCCCTGCAGAGAGCTGCACTATTATATTTGACATTAAAAAGTATAGAGGTTGCAACATTGTATCTATTTGTATCCGAATAAAATATCTATATCCGAAATGGATACAGATAGATACAATGTTGTAACCTCTATACTTTTTAATGTCAAATGTAATAGAGCAGCTCCCTGCAGGGACAGAAGTAATTACTATTAATAATATAGGTCCCCATCAACATGGGGACAAGGTGATTTTTGGGGGGAGCCCCCCTGCCCCAAAGCAACCCCCCATGTTGAGGGCATCTGGCCTGGTATGGTTCAGGAGGGGGAAGGGGCTTGCTCGTCCCCCCCTTTCCTGACCTGCCGGGCTGCATGCTCGGATAAGGGTCTGGTATGGATTTTGGGGGGGACTCCACGCTGTTTTTTATTTAATTTCGGCGTGGAGTTCCCCCTTAACATCCATACCAGACCCAAAGGGCTTGGTATGGATGCGAGGGGGGACCCCAAGCTGTTTTTTCTTTTTTTTTTATAATTCTCAGCAATACTTTTACATTCAGCTGTCAGTGGGGAACTCCGCCGACAGCTGAAACATGAACGCTGCATTGGTTTTCACTACTAAAACAACGCATGAGTTGATAAAATAACTCAAGCGGGATTTTAGAAGCGACAACCATGTGTTAATGTTTAAGCTGTCAGCGGGATTCCCCACTGACAGCTGAATGTAAAATAATTTCCTTTATTAAATAAATAATAAAAAGAACAGCGTGGGGTCCCCCCTCCCATCCATACCAAGCCCTTCGGGTCTGGTATGGATATTAAGGGGTAACCCCACACCGAAATTTTAAAAAAAAAACAGCGTGGAGTCCCCCCCAAAATCCATACCAGACCCTTATCCGAGCATGCAGCCCGGCAGGTCAGGAAAGGGGGGGGGACGAGCGAGCGCACAACCCCCACCACCACTGGCCAGGGTTGTGGGGAAGAGGCCCTTGTCCCCATCAACATGGGGACAAGGTGCTTTGGAGGGGGAGTGCCCCCTGCCCCAAAGCATCCCCCCCATGTTGAAGGCATTTGGCCTGGTATGGTTTGGGGGGCGGCGCTCGCTCGTCTCCCCCCCTTTCCTGACCTGCCGGGCTGCATGCTCGGATAAGGGTCTGGTATGGATATTGGGGGGGGACTCCACGCTGTTTTTTTTTTAAATTTCGGCGTGGAGTTCCCCCTTAATATCCATGCCAGACCTGAAGAGCTTGGTATGGATGAGAGGCGGGACCCCACACTGTTTTTTTTTTTTTTTTTTTATTGCGGACCTTTATTTTTACATTCAGCTGTCAAAATAAATATTATCTAGACCTTCGAAATAAGTAAAATCATTACAGAAATAATTATAAAGGATAAGAAAAAAAAAAATAGAATCACTAGAACTAAGGAAATCAAAGTAGAATACATAAAGATATGCCTAGTGCTGTTTGTTAAACACAGTAGACACGACCGAGTGCCGGCTGTCAGAGGAATCCAGCCAGAGATTTACCGTATTTTTCGCTCCATAAGACGCACCTGACCATAAGACACACCTAGGTTTTAGAGGCAGAAAACAGGAAAAAAAAAATTCTGAACTAATGGACTGCAGACATAGTACAGGGATGACCAGAGACTGCGGACATAGTACAGGAGATGACCAGTGACTGCGGACAGTACAGGGATGACCAGTGACTGCGGACATAGTACATGGATGACCAGAGACTGCGGACATAGTACATGGATGACCAGAGACTGCAGACAGTACAGGAGATGACTGATGACCTTTGGGGGGGAGGGAGGGGGAGCGGGTACCTGAATTTGACAGGTACCCGCTCTTACTTCTGCAGAGTTGTTCTTTCATCTTACCTGTTCCTCTATCCAGCCGTGCTCTGTCTACCCGGCTTCTGTAGTGTGGGCGCTCGGCGGATAGCCGGATGCCCAGTGCGCATGCGCAAGAAGCGCTGCGCTTTGTGATTGGTCCGGCGGCTTCTGGGATCTGTCATGTGTCCCAGGTACCGCATTGCCATTCACAAAGAGTACGGCTTCTTGCGCATGCGCACTTGGGACCCGGCTGTCACGCACACTACAGCAGCCGGGAAGACAGCGCGCCGCTGGATAGAGGAACAGGTAAGGTCCCACTGAAGAGCTGAGCGGCTGACCGACCCGGTATTCTGACATGGCGGCGGTGAAAATACCGTACCGGTCGCTCTATATTCGCTCCATAAGACGCACTGACATTTTCCCCCCTTTTTTGGGGGGAAAAAAGTGCTTCTTATGGAGCGAAAAATACGTACTACTATTGAACAGTGGCTAAAAAGCAAGCGCCCACAGAGGACGTCTAAAATGTGTTCTGCACATGCGCATTTATATCAGCCAAATAAGCTGCACGAGCATCTAGTTTTTCACTGAGTTGACTTGCTTAAAAAAAACAACACGTTTTAATTTTTTTTTGAAATGGCAGATATTGTTTAAAGTGAAGTCCTGATATTTGGCAAAACAAATTTCAAAGTGAACATGTTTCTGCAGTGATTTTTCATGGTGTTAGACATACCTCTTACCAAGTCTGCTTTTTGAGTCTGATTCCTGATCTGTGTCTCATTAGTAAATTCGACTGGGCGTCTACTTGTTGACACTGCTCAATAGTAAATCTCTTAGCGGGGTAAAAGTAGACGGTCGCTAGTAAAAATTAGACGTTCGCCCACGGAAATGCGCCTAGGCTCAATAGTAAATCAGGGCCTTAGGGACAGACTTGAAGAATTACTCTCCTACAAAATAAAAGCCCACCACACCAGACTCCAGTGGCGTTTTTTTTTTTCCGAATAGCAGAAAAAGTCATGCAACATTCTGGTGAGAGTCCTTAGGGAATCTGCAATCTTTTATTTCAGGCATAGATTCAGGTGAAGAGAAGATTTGTACTCATCACAAGAAATAGCCAGGAGCTTTAATGTCATTCTTTGAAGTTCTTTAAAACTCTTCCCCTTCTACTTTTTTGACAGGTAATACAGATAGGCTGGAAAAAATCCATTACTATCTCCTGAAAGTTGGCCTTCCTCACCTGACTTTAGGGGAGGACCACACTCTATGTTAGAAGCTTTCCTTAACCTAATACCTAATATCTTCTTATTAACAGTACTAACATAAGTATGAATGAGTTGGATCTTAATAGAATAATTGAGTTATTATATTTATATTTGTTCTAGATTGGGAAAAGTAAGGAATTAGACTTCATAGTCTGTGAACATATATCTTGGGTTTTTCCTTTACATTCAAGCCACATATGAGAGTAATTAGCTATACCTTCCCCCATCCTCCCCCATCTATGTAAGAGATAAAGTTACACTCAGACTTTGAGAGAAGCAATTATCTTAGTAGAACTACAAGAGAATACCAACCCACACTTTTAGGTTGGTGGGGGCTGGATTGCTCTTAAGAGTAGAACAAAGTTTTGAGTCTCTCTCACTTTATAGCAGCCTTGATGCGACAGACATACACACACACATACACACACATATACAATCTTATCATCAAGAACTTAACTATATTTTTTGGACATTATTTAAACATTCTGTATGCCAATATTTTATTTCTAATTTTATGCAACGTTATTATTAAATCATCTTTTTGAGTTTTTACAAGAAGTGGAAGGACTTTCTATTTGAACATTTCTCATCAATACAAGTTAAGAAAATATCGAGACAATACGATATTTTACACTCTAGATAAACCAATTTCAACTAAAGAGCTAGAGAGGGTACTGAAAGATTCCAAGCTACATAAGGTCCCTGGCCCTGATAGCCTTACTCTATTATACTATAAAACTTTCCCCCATATGCTTAATGGACCTTTGTCACTGCTTTTAACTCAATCTAAAATGACCACCACCTGCACCCAGACTCTCTAAAAGCTACTATTACAGTTCTTCCTAAGGAAGGAAAAGACCCGATGCAATATGCAAGTTATTACCCAATCTTGCTCATGAATGTAAACCTTAAACTGCTGACAAAAAATACTAGCAAATAGGTTACTTCCAATGGTCCACAGAATAATACACAATGACCAGGTAGGCATTATACCCAACAGAGATGCCAAGGATAATACGACTAGAACTCTTAACATTATCCATATGGCCCATACATCTGCTACCTCCACCATTCTCAGCCAACACTGAGAAAGCATTTAACCGTATTTACTGGATCTTTATGAAAGCAGTGATGCGACATCTTAATATGGATGGTGGATGGAGAGGCTGGTTAGAGGAATTATACTCACATCCCTTGGCATAGATAAAAAATAACAATGTCTATTCCAACTATATTAAACTCCAAAATGGGACAAGACAAAGATGTTCTTTATTCCTACTCATCTACAAAATTACACTGGAGCCCCTACTGTGCTATATCAGGGCCAACCCCAATATAGCTAGTATGCCCCAGGTTCTGAGGAACACAAGGTTGCTGGTTATGCTAATAATCTTTTATTCTTCATTACGAGACTGGTGACCACACTCCCAAATCAGGATCTATGGGGAACTTTTGAATTTCAAAATAAATCTCAATGTACGTCAACGTCATATTCTACAGGGTATCAAATCACACTTTCCCTTGCGTTGGACCCCACATTACATATCTGAGAATTCACCTGACTAGTTACATCAATGACATTTATCACTATCTGTTTCTGCTAGTCCACCACTTCCTATTTTGTTTTTGTGTGATATTTCAACTTAAATAAAGAATTTACAAAAATAAATACCAGGAAGTGCACTGTATTTTTCAAAAAGAATTTAGAACAAAAGGTACATTATGACTTAAATACAATTAACATTTCAAGTGGTTGCCTATAATAACATAGCACATTTTCACATTCTGACTTCAGATTACTTTCAGTGATCAAGCTCAAATGTTTGTGTTAACCTGCATTACAGGGAGTTACTATATACAGTACTTCACAGCAATTTGCTCTTTTGGATCTCCTTTATGTAAATCAGTGTTGCCAAGTAAACCAAATTATAATGTTGAGTGGTAGACATTTTGCATATATACTGAAATAAATGTAAAATAATTTAGTTGCAAATGTATACATTTAATCATATGAAATCCTTGCTTTTTTCCAGTTTACTTACTTTGCTGTGGCTCAGCATTATTATTCTCACAAGCACAACATTAATATGGGCCCCCAGTGACTCATCATGGTAGATTTCATTCACCTATGAAACAACGTAAATTGAGATTAAAGAAAAGGTTCTGATGAAAACATATTTAGGCAAACGTTCTGATTGTTTCTTCATTTTTTTTATATTGTGTAATATTTGTCCAATTCCGTTCCGTATTTGTTTACACTGAAAACACATGTTGAAAGGCATCAGTCACTCTATCACCAGTTTTAGCAAC